ATCAAACACTTATCAGACGCCAGCTCACACCATCCTGTTAACGTGTGAGTTTGACGTCATTTGAATGAACCAAAGTACATCAATATGAGCCAGGCACGCCTGTCATCTTGTAGGAAAAAAATGGGAAGAAGAAAAGCGGATTCAACCTACTTCACATTAACATCCTAGCTTCATGCTTATTGCGGAATTAAAACTTTCAGTATAGTTTCATATTGGTATGAATGTTTAATGAACATATCTTTCTCTAAATGATATAAATTGGGGGCCGAAAGAAACAAAAGTTGATTTCATCATATGTTTCATTTTCATTTGAAAATATCTTAAGTAAGCGATATTATATCCAAAGAAACGAAGAACCCTGGCGTTTAGTCAGGACTCAAATAATACTTCTACATGGTTTTATTTTTTAGAATATAATTTGATTCAAAACTTCGCAAAAACCTCGCATAACAGTGAATTATTATAAGCCACGCAATACTAGTTGGAAAAGTACACGGGCGTTGGGGATCCGCTTTGTTATGTTGGGATTAAACTTCTAACCGAGTCCCAGAGAGAGACACTCTAGATAATAAACGTCATGGTGACGCGACCTGTAAGTCACATTCCTGCATAATGAAGAACATTTGTTTTTCTTCTTACTAGGTCGCCTTGAAGACACTAAACATACACTTCAGTGTCTACAATTGAGAATCACAACCTGTATAACCCTCACTTTGCAACTTCAAAATGTATCCTACTACTTGAAGTGCCTATAGTTTATACGTTCGTGTACCTACGAATTAAAAGTGTATTACGCGAACCTTTTGTGGGCATAATAAATAATTGTGTATTCATAATATATAACGAGGGTTATAATCTCTTCATCTCATATGGCAGTCTTAAACTGGTCAATGTTTGTGTCGCAATTAGGCTCACTGAACTAAGTTTAGAAATAGGAATACAGAGCTGAAGCGAAACGCGCCATTTTTGAGATAGTATCATATGATTTGCATCCATGTCTTTGTGACAGACATTCACACATTGGGAAGCAGCTATTGCTTATGAAGCGCAAGGCAATAGCCATTGCAGGAACTTCTTTTTTAACGCCGAACTCAGCAATATTCCAGCTATATCACCGCGGCCTGAAAATAATCGAGTCTGGACCAGACAATCCAGTGATCGATGTTGTGGGCAACGGCCCATGCTGCGGTGGTATAATATAACAGGCTATCAATCAAGCTACCGAGCCTGACAACCCGATCAATTTGGTTGCCTCTTTCACCTCTGGGGACCTTGTTGTTATTTAACGTCACACTCTGCAATATTCCAGCTATATGACGGCGGTATGTAAATAATCCAGTCCGGATCAACAATCCAGTGATTGACATCATGAGCATCAGTCTACGCAATTAGGATACGATGACATGCATTAGCCAAGTCAGCGCGCCTGACCACCCGATCCCGTCAGTCGCCTCTTAAAATAAGCATAGTTGCCTTTTTCAGCAAGCATGGGTTGCTGAAGACCTATTCTACCCCGGATCTTTACGGGAGCTTCAGAAAGTAGACATTGCATCTTATTATAAGTAGCTCATGTTAGGTGATCTTAAAGTTTGCATATTAATTTGTCCGTGGCATCAATAATATCGGCAACACTCTCCATTGTCCATTAATGATTACATTCATGTTGCAATAAACATATATAACTCCCGTTGACATCAGTTCCGTAAAGACTGAAAAGTAGTCAAAAACAGCTACCAGTATGGATTTGATTATCTTCGATGTAACGAAGCAGCTATTTCGCAAGAAAACCCGGAAAAGTTCATCAAAACTGGCAATGATATAAACTACTCGGTTTTGTCAGGGTCTACTCGTACTTGTATTCACGCTAGTTTATGAAAAAAGGGGCTTTAAAGATATGCGGCAGTCACCGTTTCGAAATTAGCTGTACGAGAGGAAACGTTAAGTCAATTATGGACGTATCCACGTTTGTTTAATAATTTAATAAAGTTATTCATGTCTCAGACGTTTACCACTTTTGTGAAACCAGCGAGCACGGGTATGGTCCTGACAAACATAATCGGGGCGAACCGGGATTCGAACCCACAGTCATAGGTTTCTGGCGTGCCCAAGGGACGCAAATATGCACAGTGAATTGCGGCGCCTTAGACGACTGGACCATCCGTGCCCTCTTCTTTATTAACATTAACTAGTAAAAACGGTGAACTGTATTGTCAATGCGTACGTTTAACCCACATGAGTTAAAAAATCGTAATTTCTAACGTATCGAAAGTGACTGATTCTCGTTCAGTCAATGTTGGTTCAACTGACGCCGATTAACCTCGGCAATGAGACACATACAGCATGTGCAAGCAGGTTCATTCCGACAAAGTAACCTTCAGTTTGCGGGCATATAACAATTGACACTTAACCGATTGGTTATATAAATGATATGTTTGTAGATACAGACATACCAGAGACAATCCGGCATTTGCCCTGCCAGGCTAACATGGTATCTGTCGTCCCCCTGACAAGGGAGGGGGTTACGAACTGCTGCGTCATCTCTACATCCCGCGGGGCACGGAGGGCACACCTGCTTGGTGATATTCATCTTTGTAGTGGCGGGTATAATTTGGGAAGATGCGTGTCAGATGGTCCAGAATGACAACTATCAATCACATGTGTCTATATTTGATATTGAATGCACATTACAGTCTCCTTCCCTCATAGCTCTTAGAAATCAGAAAAAAAGGTTTCAGTACAGGGGAATGTTATTTCCGACCGCCATATTTTTGTCTTGACAGTTAATGTGATATATGTTTGTTAGACTCATAACTCATTTGCACTGACAAAAACACAGTTTCCAAAGGCACGCCTTCTGACTCGGTGTACATATAGACCGACAACGCCAATAATGCCTGTATAGGACTGGCAGCACTAGTGCACGTGCACATTTCACAAATTCATACGAACGCATGGGTTGAAAGAAAAATGTACATGTTTGGGTTGAATTATATTAGGCATATATGTGACAGAAACATGTTCAACCTTAGTCATTGTCAGATCAAGTAAGATAAGGCCTACTTTTGGATGCACAATCAGCACGTACACCAAGTACACGTGCATATTTAAAAAAAATAAAACTGACCATTTGATTCGAAACACAAATTGTGAACATCGAATCTTTTACGTATACTTGCGTCGGAAGTTGTGCCATGTAGCCCCTCGCATTCGTGCATGGGACCCCAACAAGATAACACATACCGTTGTTTAATTGTTTATGCAAATTATTAGTGTTTGATTATTTTGAGTTTCAATTTTTTTTTCATCTTCTTTTCTTTGTCTTTTTGTGTCATCCGATTTTGTTTATAATATATTCACTGATCATCGAAATTGATATGGTGAACCGACACCAGTGACTACACACAAGCGAGAGCAGAAAGCATAGCCTTATATATATATATATATATATATATATATATATATATATATATATATATATATATATATATATATATATATATATAATAAAATAATAAAGTCCACGTTAGTCCATCATCTTCTTTATATCAGTTTCATACATAGTACTTTCGCTGTCTATATATACTCAACTAAAGGTCATGGCGTGTCTTGGTGGTGTGTCGTCACAGGTGTGTGTAATCAACCGCTTCCAGGGAATGCCTACACCATAATAGCAGCTTCATTTTATAACTAAGTAAGGATAAGATATATGGATCAACAACGTCTTCATTACAACTAGGAGCGGCGTTTCGGTATTGGTTCTAACACCGTTACCAAACAAGTGATGAATTGTTTGTTGGTTGTTTAACGCCTATATTCCAGCTATATGACGGTGGTCTGTAAATAATCAAGTCTGCACCAGAAAATCCAGTGATTGACATCATGAGCATCGATCCACGCATTTGGGATAAGATGACATGCATCACAACCAAGTCAGCAAGCTTTACCACCCGATCCTGTTGGTCGCGTCTTAAGACAAGCACCGTCGCCTCTTACGACAAGCATGGGTTGCTGAAGTCCTATTCTAACCCGGATCTTCACGGGTGGCAAATGATGTACAGAGTATGGTTGAGAAGCATACTATACATATATGTTTCTCAACCATTCTCAGCACATCACTTGCTTGATAACAGTGTTAAAACCCACACCGAAATACACCGAATTTTAATATATAAGTTGTTCATACATATTTCTTATGGTGGAGTGGAGAAGCCTAAAACAATAAAACAAACTGACCGGTGAATCCAGTAGTATAAACAAAAGGATGAAGCCAGTAATATAAAAAAAAAAGGATTATGACTGATTGGGGTCACTGGTGAGTTGATGGTACGCAGGGGGGATGTAATAGACTTGATCACGGTTAAGTGATGGTTGGAGTCTTGAGATGTTGATGGTTTCTTGTAGTTTTCTGATTTTGAAGTCTTTGAGGTTGGTGGTCGCTCATAATTATAATAAAGACGTTGTTCATCCATATATCTTATCCTTACTTAGCACTCCAACTTCTAAATGTCTCTCAAAGAAATTCTTAATGACTCTCATAGAAGTCATTTCATGAGGCAAATAAGTTCAAAGAAGGTGGTTCAAAAGAAGAAGCCTAAAATGGTTCTCAAATAAAAAAAGGCATTTTACACAAACTTTCTATTTACTTAATATGGATGTATTGTGTCTATTTTATTCCTTCCAATATTACATCTGTCAATCTCCATTCTGCTCCCGGGGGCGTTGCCTCTTTATGGAGTACATTTAAATATCCACATCCTTGTTTTGTCCTGCTTTATTTAGATGGAACCCTGGAGGCAATACAGTGTTATATTCCCTGCCTTTAAGCTGACACATTATCTTTGTAGATACCGCAGGCTTGACAAGTCATGTCTATTTAAACAAATATCCATAATCAGAGAAGAAGATAGGTATTTGATTGTAAGTACATCGCATAAGTTAGTGATGCGTCTATCACGTTATAATGTATTGGTGAACCTTCCTTTATCCAAGGACAAATATAAGAAAGAATAAACACACAAGGGATGAAGACTCCAGGGTGTGAAAACGATGTAACGTTAGTTTATTTTAAATTTATATTATTTTGAACTAGTACATACTGGATTGGTATGTGCACTGTAAACAAATGTGTTAGGATCCTAAACACAAACCTAAGCGCGTTCCTTGTCCCGTAATTTTGACGCGTTTAAGGTCTAAACATGCCTTGGATTATGTTCAACAGCTAAACGTGTTTAGGGCATAAACGTGGGAAAGACCCGTATTCCTCTTCCATCTAAACATGTCTTGTTTGTAAACACATGTATGGATACACATCGAGGAACAGTGACAAACACAACAAAATATGTGAATGGAAGTTTTCAATCATATCCTCGATATCAGTGGAATGTCAATTAAACTTGATAAAATATATACTCGCTATCGTAATAAGTAACGAAAGTATTTCTTCTGTACGTACGCATCTTTACTTTACTCAACACATTGCCAGTCCTAAGAACTCAAGCCATCAGTTGTAACGGGAAGATGGAGAGCTGTTCTAGTACACTGAGTCACACGAGGCATGTCTTGGTGGTAAATATTCCCCGTTCTCATGGCATGCAGTCCGTGGTATGAAGTAAAAAGTAAATTGAGGACAGTGTCCGACCAAATTGGGGTTTCGGGATTACTGTTCAAAAGACAGATGATGTTTACGGCTATATAAAAAACAACAAAAAGGGCTTTCAGTTGTTTTAGTGTGTTCTAGGTTTACACGGGTCTACATTCACTTGGACCTTGATAACATCAAGGATCATTGTGAAGACTACCAGCCTACAGATTTTACGTAGACTTACACTCGTGATTCCGGTAAGTGTATTGGCGCTGTATAAGTGCCTACTTTATTATTATAATTATTCTGAAAATGCATCATAATATCAAACCACTCACCAGTGTAGACTATTGCGGTTAATTGATGTCTGCGCATCCGCATGTCGATAGCTGCACGTGCTGCATGCGTGTCATGACATCGAATTGACACTTCGGCTAGTTGGGTCATACAACTTCTTTGCATACGCAATCTCATTGGTCGGTTCAATGATAGAATGAGGTGAAAGGTCGATACCTTCGTCTGTACATCAGATAGTATAAGCTCCCTTTTTAAAACTTAAGAAATATTTAAATGTAACGAATCTTTTATTATAAATGCAGATCTGTAGTCGATAGTTTTATCTTTGCCCTATATAATGTGATTCATATTTTCCGAGGTCATATATCGCCTCGTCGACCGTCATTGCGCTGATTAATCGAACCCAAATCAATACTCTGTGTCAATCATTCTTCTTTACATATACACATTAGAATTCAACCCGACCTGATATTTACGTCAACTTGCCGCTGTGCAGATGTGCAGCAGCTGATTACGTCTTACTTTCATTAGGGGATGAGGTCGGAGAACTGCGAACACAGGGCATGCCAGAACCCTATGACCGTGTAGTTCGCCATGATAAGGTTTCTTGGTATAATATGGCGTTAAGATGTATTCACATACTATTCCGTGAAGGGGTATTCACATGATATATTGTGTAGAGGTATTAAAATAGCATATTGTTCAGAGGTATTCACATCATATATCGTGTAGCTGCATTAACACAATGTACTGCGTAGAGGTATTCACATACTATACCGTGAAGAGGTATTCACATAATATACTGTGTAGAGGTATTCACATTACATATTGCGTTGAGGTATGCACATACTGTATAGTGAAGAGGTATTCACATGCTATACTTTGTAGGGGTATTCAGATAATATACTTTGTTGGGGTATTCACAGAATACACTGTGTAGAGGTATTTACATGATACGCTGTGTAGAGGAATTCACATAATACACTGTGTAGAGGTATTCACATGATATACTGTGTAGGGGTATTTACATAAATACTGTGTAGGATATTCACTTGATATACTCTGTAGGGGTATTCACGTGATATACTTTGCTGGGGTATTCACATGATACACTGTGCAGAGGTATTCACATGATACACTGTGTAGAGGTATTTACATGATACGCTGTGTTGAGGTATTCACTTAATATACTGTGCAGACGTATTCACATGATATACTGTGTAGGGGTATTCACTTAATATACTGTGTAGATTTATTCAAACAATATACTGTGTAGGGGTATTCACATGATATACTGTGTAAAGGTATTCAAATGACATACTTTGTGGAGGTATTCACATGATACACTGTGTAGGGGTATTTACATAATATACTGTGTAGAGGTATTAACATGATATACTGTGTAGAGGTATTCACATCATATACTTTGTGGAGGTATTCACATGATATACTTTGTGGAGGTATTCACATAATACACTGTGTGGTAGGTATTCACATCATACACTGTTTAGGGGTATTAACATGATACACTGTGTAGGGGTATTCACGTAATATACTGTGTAGAGGTATCACATGATATACTTTGTGGAGGTATTCACATGATATACTTTGTCGAGGTATTCACATGATACACTGTGTGGTAGGTATTAACATGATGCACTGTGTAGGGGTATTTACATAATACACTGTGTAGGTGTATTAATATGATACACTGTGTAGGGGTATTCACGTAATATACTGTGTAGAGGTATTCACATGATATACTTTGTGGAGGTATTCACATGATACCCTGTGTGGTAGGTATTAACATGATACACTGTGTAGGGGTATTCACTTAATATACTGTGTAGATGTATTCACATAATACACTGTGTAGGGGTATTAACATGATACACTGTTTAGGGGTATTAACATGATACACTGTGTAGAGGTATTAACATCATATACTGTGTAGGGGTATTAACATCATATACTGTGTAGGGGTATTAACATGATGCACTGTGTAGGGGTATTAACATGATACACTGTGTAGGGGTATTCACGTAATATACTGTGTAGGGGTATTTACATGATATACTGCGTAGAGGTATTCACATAATATACTGTGTAGGGGTATTAACATAATATACTGTGTAGGGGTATTTACATGATATACTGTGTGGGGGTATTAACATGATACACTGTGAAGGGGTATTAACATGATATACTGTGTAGGGGTATTAACATGATGCACTGTGTAGGGGTATTAACATGATATACTGTGTAGGGGTATTTACATGATATACTGTGTAGGGGTATTAACATGATACACTGTGAAGGGGTATTAACATGATATACTGTGTAGGGGTATTAACATGATACACTGTGTAGGGGTATTAACATGATATACTGTGTAGGGGTATTAACATGATACACTGTGTAGGGGTATTAACATGATATACTGTGAAGGGGTATTAACATGATATACTGTGTAGGGGTATTAACATGATATACTGTGTAGGGGTATTTACATGATATACTGTGTGGAGGTATTCACATGATGTCCTGTGTGGAGGTATTCAACTGAAGCGAACATATAATATATCCCGTTCTCTGTCAATGCGTGAGGACAAATGGCACTTGTGTCTTGCTTACTGATGAAATAATTCCTTTAAGCCGTCTGATGTTAAGCCGTTTGATTCTTCGCGTTGTTACTGCTCACGGGGAGAGTTCCTCCAGTTGTAAAATGCATGATATCCATGTGTTTGTGAAATCAATTTGAAAGCTTGAAAACAAACCCTACTTTAATCTAAAATATTGGACGTTGAACAACAGGGAAAACCTAATACGACTATCTGCTCAAGATGAATTGAGCAGGATCAGCGTGCACAAAACGATCTTAGCGTAACGATTATCGTGAGCCTATGTTAAAGTATGGGAACTAGGATCGCTTTGTGCAAGTGGACCTTGATCAGTTCTCTGTGGAGCGCTGGTCATGCTGTCAACCACTGGTATGTCTTACCAGACGAGAGTTATTATTATGCAATACTGTGACTGCAGCTTAAAATAATATTCACTTACTCATGACACTACGACGTAGAGCAAAATAAGAAAAATAAGGTTTCAATGAATAAATTGCAAGAATGAGGGAATACATTATAGTTAATGCATCATGGGTTAAATGGATATAAACTGCCGGGCAAAATAAAGTTTACACATTTGTTTGATGGTGGCTAAAAATGAAACAAACAAGAAATGGTTATTCGATGGGTACGGGTATCATAGTTGTGTTTTGCACCCCAAGTTTGCAGTGTTTCGGCGACTGTTTTCACGATGGTGACGTTTTGATAACGTTTGTAATTCTTGGTCAATTTAAATTTTCAAGTGTATAATTTCTTTTGCCCGGCAAGCGAGGTATATCATTTGAAACGAAATTCTCCCTTCCAACCACAAATCCAGGACACATTCATATAGCGATGGATTCCGAGACGGATATAACTGGAGAGACATTGTCTTACTCGGCTTTGTGAAATCTCATACATGTGAATTTCATTAGATTTACTTATAATCAATAAATAAAAAAAACAACACCGATAGCAGAACATAGCCACACAAGCTGTCAACAGTCAACATCTATCAATGTCAGTAATTGTACACATTGGTTTTCATGACGTCAACAGTAAAATAAGACATGAACTCCAAGTGCAGTACTCGATTGGCGACGTGTATTTGAACAAAGACAAAACATAGCAACTCAGGCATTGTTACTAATGGCTGCAATTTGTAATTGAAAGTTTTTAAGCAGCTAATTTTATTTGCAGAAATCAATTTTTGTTGTTCCAAAACATAGCCAACTATTGCTAATTATTTCAGAATTATATTCACAAACATTTTATAAATTTTATAAAAAAATTAACTGGATTAAGTGTTATGTCTTCAAGTTGACTGGGTGAAAGTCTTGTATCGGTAGTTGACCTAACATCATCGGGCATAGGCATATTATTTATTTAAAGTTGACAAATGCATAGATGATGTTTGTTTGTTTGTTGTATAACGCCACAAACAGAAATATTCTAGCTATAAGATGGCGGCCAGTTAACACCTGGATCTCGACCAGACAAACCAGTGGTTGATACCGTGAACAACGTCCTGACGAGCACATTCATTATATTGCCTCTTAACACACGCATAGATTGCAGGGAACCTGTTCCAACCCCAAATCCAACAGAGAGGAACATACTTTCCCACTGTACAACAGTATAGGTTTTCACATGTGGTGTTGCAAACATTTATTTGCTGCAACGAAGCCGCACACTCTGTAAGCTACTGTCACGTACCTTACCTACACTAATATATATATATATATTAGTGTGTCATTTGTCATTTGTGCCCTGAGATGCATGTGTGTGTGTGTGTGTGTGTGTGTGTGTGTGTGTGTGTGTGTGTGTGTGTGTGTGTGTGTGTGTGTGTGTGTGTGTGTGTGTGTGTGTGTGTGTCTACGTTTTATTACCAGAATGTTTTAACAACTTACCTGTCGGTTTCAAATTACTATCTGTTAAGACTGACTATATGTGTGTGTCTTTGATCTGAACAGACAAGTTCCTGACTGGTACCTGCACATGAATGCGCCTACCTGTGGCGACGTCGGTCCGCTCACCTTGATGTACACACAGCACCCAGTCTATTATACAGCTACATCGTGGGAGTCACTTAACACTTGACCCGCTGTGTGATTGTATGTTCTGCAAGAGAGGTTCTACAAACCACTTAACCCCAGGGACCACGGACCCCATGCCAAGACGAGAGGCACACACTTAGACCTGCTAGTCAGGCCTCATTGTGTGATCACTGAAAGGTATAATCGATCTGGTGTTGGAGATGTTTCAATTGGTCAACTTCAGTCATACGCAAAATTACTAATTTCTATTTAAAAAAAGTTAAGGCCACAGGCTAAAAGATTAGACCATAGTTTCAATATTAGGTAACTAACGCATTCTACAGAAGGCCTGAGTCCCTATATATACGGAGTCCAGTGGCAGATACTTCACTCTGCCACGATTGAAGACTTAAAGGGACTCAGCAGCCTTCTTTCTGTTTTAAGGTAAGATAACATTATTTTCTTGTTAAATTCTCCTTGCCTGTAACTTATATGATATCCTGTGCAAGCAACGATATATTTACCATGGTTTGTAATATTTAAGAAAAAGTTATATGTCATTCATTATACCGCAAAGCAACTCGAATGTTAATTGTATGTGTGTGTTTATATAGATGTTAGTAGATAAGTTCACTTGTACATTAACGGTTGATATGCCAAGTGATAGCTAAAGCCGTACATTACATAGCATGAGAAAGAGTACATTGTGGTAAATACCCGCGGGTAATCTCACGTAAATACCGTCTCATGCGAATATTGGCCATGCTACGTCTATCATTTGGTTAAGCAGTTACGGTATTAAAATTATACAGTATGTTAAATACTTTTGTGTGTAAATACATGAGTAACGCTAGAATGCCGTAAATGTTAAATGTTAACAGTTCCTGTATGAAATGTTTTTGCATAAAATACTTCCTAGTCCATTATTATTCACAATTCGCTTTTTGTACCTTATTTATTAGAACAGTCCTGTGAAGAAAGTTCAAACCAGTCGCTATCAATTCATGTATGGTTGTCAATTAAATATTTAATGTAACAAGTCATTGACTGCATCTATCTTGTAATGTAATTTTGTTTAAATATCTCTCTATATATGAAACTTCACTCTGCCACGAATAAAGACTAAAAGCGACTCATCGGCCTTCTCTCTGTTTTAAGGTGATAGCCGAGTAATCAGCTCTACCAAGTTAATTCCCCCACTATATTGGTCATTGTGACGTAGCAAACGGGACCACGCCCACACAAGGCAAAACGGTCCCAAAGACAAGCTACGTCAGTAGAAAGCACATGTGGCGGGCCGTCATGTACTCGCGTCAGAATAGAGAACACGACGTGTGGAGGCCTGATATGTGGGTCTATGTGAAGTCAGTGGTCTGTAAGTGGTCGTCCCACGGAGCTGTACAATTGTCAGCCTTATACACGTCGACTGATGCATGTACATGGCAGCTGATCCGCATGTGTACCAAGGCGGACTGAGTGACCCCCGTGTCTCCCTGCCTGGAGATACAGCAGCAGTGGCTCGCTCCCACGTCACTGTAGAGTCGCGGCTGACTGAAGATGCACAAGCTTGTCGCTTATCGCCGCTCGTGTATAGAGGACGCACCTGTGTAGGAGGAATGGAATATGTGCGTAAGAACATGCCCGATCATGTAAACAGTACAGCACACTTCACTATCTTTGCCTGCCAAAGGCCATTCACTACCCCCTGGCACCATAACCATTCCTAACCATACACCAACCCTCACCATTAAAGCAGATTCAGTCCTATGTACATCTCTGGTGACACTAATGTTTGTTTGTTTTTGTTTAACTAATCGAATCAAGACCAGACAATCCAGTGAGTAACAACATGAGCATCGATCTACGCAATTGGGATACGATGACATGCATCAATCAAGTCAGCGAGCTTGACCACCCGTTATTCGCTTCTTACAACAAGCATAGTCGCCTTTTTCTACTAGCATGAGTTGCTGAAGACCTTCACGGGTTGTCACACGTTTGTTATCATAATCGGCCGTGGTTGACGCATGGGCGGATACAGCTTTTTTGAAAAGGGTGTGTGTGTGTGTGTGGGGGGGGGGGGGGGGGGGGGGGGGGCACAATTAAGATCTATTTATTGTCTTTGGTGGTAATTTATACAGAAATAAAGATTTTTTTCGAAATAAAAAGGGGGTAACCCACCCACTCCACGGAAATCAACCACCAGGTTCATGTTTATTCATTTGGCACGTCTGTTCAAGCGTTTGATGTGTACAACTCACGTGATGTATGTGTTGTTGATTTCCCCTGGGTATCCAACTCTAATGGTATGTGAAGAAGTACTGTGTGAGCAACGTGTCAAGACTACAATAGACCTATCGGATTGTGTCAATGACCGACACGCTTGTTGAAGGTGGTCCTTTCAACCCTCCTCCCTCTCATAAGGAAATCGCTTTATACCAATGATTATTTCGTTCCATGTCATTGATACCGACAACTCTGTGCGATCGCGCTGATGTGTATTGATAAACATTTTAGGCGTTTAACTCTGTCTGTAAATTATAAATTGAGAAGTATTTCATTATCTTAACTAAAGAAGTGCTTTCTATTCAATATGTCAATGTGAATCAATCGGTTAGGAGGACACTGTTCCGCCAGATACCCAGAAATGCAAGAGAGGATATCCAGTGTTTCTTACTGTAAACATCTCGGATCGGTGGGGGAGAGCCATGGGCACAGCGTTTGCTCGTCACACTCAAGAAGTGAGTTTCTTCCCAATTCGTCCAGTCCATGTTTGAATGCCGTGTCGTAATGTTGCTCGAATGCTGCGATATGAACTTATTATTTCACAGATTAATTGAAGGAATATGCCAATCGCCATTTCAAACCTTTGATTTATCTATACAAGGCAACGAGGACAAGAAACTGCCAAGTTATATTTTAAACACTCAATGTCCAGGTGCGATAAGACGTGATTGTCCTTCACTAACAGATTCCAGGTGTTAGTCAAATATTCATGTACTCGGAAAATTCCGGATCAATATAGATATAAGATCATGCACCAGTCCTATTATATCGATCGCTCTGCAAACAACAGATGACAAAACACAAGTACTTTGCACATAATAAAACTGATCACATGTCAATCCTTGTTTGTTGTGATTGACAGTGCTGGTGTATGCAGCTTTATCATACATATACGGGGCCGAGGTGAGCGTATCACGTCCACCCTTCATCAGCCAGAGTGTTGGTCTACAGTACAACAATGACTTGACTTCACTGGAGCTCAACACTGACACTTCGTGAAGCATGTAGGTGTGGAATACCCGCCGTCGTGTCAGTGAATTGTTGGTAAGAACAGTTTACATTGAGAAGGAAATCAACACTAGAACCCAGTGCCAGTTGGAAAGCGATCTACATCCACCCGGCTGGTAGAGAAGGCCATGTACATCCATCCGGTTGATACTGACGGCGATCTACATCCTCCCGGCTGTAACTGACAGCGATCTACATCCACCTGGCTGATACTGACAGCGATCTACATCCACCTGACTGATACTAACACAGTGATCTACATCCACCTGACTGATACTAACACAGTGATCTACATCCACCTGACTGATACTAACACAGCGATTTACATCCACCTGACTGATACTGACACAGTGATCTACATCCACCTGGCTGATACTAACACAGTGATCTACATCCACCTGGCTGATACTAACACAGCGATCTACATCCACCTGACTGATACTAACACAGCGATTTACATCCACCTGACTGATACTAACACAGTGATCTACATCCACCTGGCTGATACTAACACAGTGATCTACATCCACCTGACTGATACTAACACAGCGATTTACATCCACCTGACTGATACTAACACAGTGGTCTACATCCACCTGGCTGATACTGACAGCGATCTACATCCACCTGACTGATACTAACACAGTGATCTACATCCACCTGACTGATACTAACACAGTGATCTACATCCACCTGACTGATACTAACACAGCGATTTACATCCACCTGACTGATACTAACACAGTGATCTACATCCACCTGGCTGATACTAACACAGTGATCTACATCCACCTGGCTGATACTAACACAGTGATCTACATCCACCTGACTGATACTGACACAGTGATCTACATCCACCTGGCTGATACTAACACAGCGATCTACATCCACCTGTCTGAAACTGACACAGCGATCTACATCCACCTGACTGATACTAACACAGCGATCTACATCCACCTGGCTGATACTGACACAGCGATCTACATCCACCTGACTGATACTGGCACAGTGATCTACATCCACCTGGCTGATACTAACACAGCGATCTACATCCACCCGGCTGATACTGACACAGTGATCTACATCCACCTGACTGATACTGGCACAGTGATCTACATCCACCTGGCTGATACTAACACAGTGATCTACGTCCACCTGACTGATACTAACACAAGTCTGTCAGCAGCTACCGGTTGCCGAGACGATCATTTGCAAACAAAAAGGCCTCGTTGTATTATTGTACATAACAATTGATGTCGAATCTACCATACAAATAAATAATAAAACAGCATTTGCAAAACGAAATATAAAGTTTTACAGAACGAAATTGATTGATTTCTTTTTATTCAACGTGTTCAATTGATCTCACAAAGTATGTCATCAATGCTGGTCCACGTCATCGAAAATATCAAGTAAAAATGTCAAGTAAAAAAGTCTGGTTAACGACATCTGTAAAAGAGAATATTTTATTTGGATTTATGGGGAAAATAACAACTCTCTCAACGTAGTTATATTACTTATCAAATTTATTGTGTTTAAACAATCACGAAAGGGTTTTCAGCTAAAGTTGAAACATATTCAACGTGAAGTTATTAGATACTACAATATGACCAAGTTAATTGCATTCTCAAATTGCAATTATACAGCTTTCTTTCAGTTCTGGTCTTCCTTCCACAGACTTTTCAATCGTAGCAAAGAATACTAGTACGATATGATATTTTATGATTGTCTATATTTGCAATATGTTTTGAAAGTTTGATGTAAAGGGATTGGTTTTTG